GTGTGTGTGTGTGTGTGTGTGTGTTGGGGGGGTAAATGAGGACACAGTGTAAAGAGCTTGAATTATCCAGTTTGGATAGAAAGGAGCTGTATCCACAGGTTTCTGTAAAAGCCTATGTAGTCCCGCCCCCCAGCTTCATGTTTCTGCTGAGCAATGAAACAACCACATGTTCATTCATTCAGAGAGTTATGATAACAACAAAACCWGTTGGTTTTTACTTTAACTGGCTGCTTGAGCAGTTCAACCACGAGTTCAGGTTCAGCTTGTGTTTTGTCTGCTGCCACAACACTTGAAAAAATTGATRAACACTTCAGAAAGATTTAGCCTGGAACAAGTGGTGAAATCATGTTCATGCCCACTGCCTGACACAGGAGGGTCATAAACTAACGTGGCTGCAGCTTTAAATCTCAAAAACACACTGAAGACACTTYGTTTGCTCTTTTCATTTTAGCAACAAAAATCCCAGATATTCACCCCCATCCAGAGCTCTAACTGGGCTAAGACCGGACCCCAAAGGTGTCTCATCCAGACCACTGAGTCAGACAGCTTCCAGGTAAATCAACTAGAACCCTGAATCTGTGCCCGCTGAGTGAAATTATAAATGAAGTTGGTCCCTGGTTCACTATKTTATCAWGCAGTTCTTTGCTTTTACCAAAATAAAGCCTATGGTGAATGGCGTTAGCATCAGCGCTAGCTACTGTTAGCCTAGTGTTAGCATGTTATTTGTAGCAAAGTCTGAGGCCCGGCTCACATGAGACCACTCTGTGGAAATGCTCATGTTTACTGGGATGGATACACAAAAAGCTCACCTGTTAGCATGGATCCACTGCAGCAGGGTTACCAAACAGGACAGGGTTTTACTGTTCCTTTTTTAATTAGTATATTTTCAGTCAAACAACAGATTTGCTGTGTATTTATGACTCACTCAGTCATATATGCTGAGTCAGAGTGTTGTGAGATAAGGTGTGTGTCTCATTTATGCTCTGCTTGTCTCTGTGGGTCTTTGAGGTTTAAAGCTGCCAGCCATGTTGGGTTACAACCGTAGATGATGTCAGTAGCAGCTAACAGAGCTAACAGTCTGTGAGCCACTGTTAGTGTCCTCACCGCTTTTTAAAACATCTTCACAGGATACACACCTCTGATATGTTGCCATTCACAACAAACTTCAGGGAAACCCTTTGATGAACAGCGATGGTGTATCCTCGTTATTGTAAACAACAGCACAGGTGTAAAYATAAAAGCAGCTTCCACTATGAATTATGGGTAGTGGAGAGAAATCAGGAATCCTGTGGTAAGTACAGTCCATTGATCAGCTGTAAACATGGCTGCTGGTGGTTCTGATACCCACCTCCCCCCCCGTGGTGCATGGGGCTGCTGATCCGAGGACTCATGGGAGCGAATCCTCCCACGGTGAAGTTGGTCACGTCTCTTGGCTGAAAACAGAGAACAGGTGTCACCATCACTTCAGAGAAGAGTCCTCCTTGAGCCTCAGAGGCTGCAGCTTACCTTGGACCCCCCAGCCAGAACCAGGTGTCTGGTCTTGCAGACAAACATGCCTCCRTTCTCCACCAGCTTCTTACAGTGAAGGAAGGCAAAGCCTCTGAACAGGTGACGGATCTCACCTTCACGGCCCTGCAGAAGAACCACCACAGAGAGGACTATTACCAGCTCCATGAGCTGAAACAGGACCACACTTCAGCTGAGACCCTCCAAACACAGCTGACAGCTACAACATCATCTAACAAAGACCTTATAAAACATCTTCTACATGGACAACTGTGACACTAAGTGTCCTGTTAGCTCCTSAGGAGCTCCTGAGGAGCTMACAGGTATGTGGTTTTAACATCTACACTCCAAGTAGAGGAGGATCTACCAACAGTTTGTGTTTGATAGATCCCAGATGAACAGGTGTTTCACCTCTTCATACTCAGTCTGCTGAGGCCTTTAAATCTTTGCTGAACACTGTTTTGTTTTTTTACAGCTGATGTCTCTTTTATTTGAATTGATTATTTTTAATGATACAAGTCTTTGAGCTTTCATCTTGTTTTTAAAGCGTTGTATAAATGAACTGGATGTTGATATCACTACACTTCAGTACCATCATACGGCCTACGTCTACTTGATGCTGCTGTGAGTGTTTAGCTGCAGAGRTAGACCGGTCCTCACCGAGTGCGGCCCATCGATGACCTTCACAATGTCTTTGACGTGGATGTTGTTCTGCTCTGAGTCCAGCGCCACAGCAAAGCGGTTGTCTTTCCTGCGGTTGACCGCCTGGTGGCGCACCGTCAGAACTTTACCATGCATGTTRAGCACCTGGAAAACCCAATGCATCCTTTAAACCACTGGCTTCTCAGTGGGTYCCACTGTCAGATCAGGAGCAGACTAATACCTGGAAYGTTTCTCTCTCCAGTCGAACAATGACTCCCACCGTCTGAGGGTCCAGCTGGACCAGCTCCCCCCACTCGTGCTGCCCTCCCACGTCCACGCCTGACGCTGTCTCAGAGCACAGCTGCAGGTCTCTGGGTAACACCTTGAGCTGCAGGGCGACACGAGACATCAGGAAACACCAGGACACAGTGACAGCAGAACCACAAGCAGCTGTTCATGTTCACAGAGCAGGACCTCGTGCATGGTGAGGTCTGAGAACAGGATGACAAAGTTCTCCTCCACTCTGACGATGAGGCCAGTGTCTCCTTCGTACCGCCCGGCGATCACCTTCACGTGGTCGCCCATCCGGAAATATTTCCTCAACTCGTGAGCCGGGAACTCCAGAGGGTCCTGCAGGAAAACCCAAACCCTCAGAAACAGCTGGAAACATGAGACACAGTCTGTGGGTCCAGTTGTTGTCATGTCCCTCTGCTGTCCACGCCTCATGCTTTATAACACACTACACACACTACACACA